CCGTGTCCCCTGCATGTGTCACCATGGCTGGTGCGGCCCAGTGCTTAGAGCGTGGGCCTCGCAGCAAAGGGTCACGGGTTCGATTCCCGGTCAGGGGCAGGTACGTGGGTGGCAGGACCGCTGGCTGCCTGTCTCCGACTGGGGTTGTGCACAGGGTGTCTCTCACGTCGAGGCTTTCCCAGCACGACTCATCATCCGCCTCTAGTTACTGGCGGGCCCACCGGCATGAAAGCCCCTCCGTGGATCCCAGCGGGAAACCAGCTCCCCGGCGTGGAGCATGGTGTTTAACTGCCGTTCCGCTTCCCGCCTCCTGCGGCTCCTGGGTTTCCCGTCTGGGCCCCAAAGCGGGGCTGGGACAAGGCCCCAGAACCTCCCGCACCTCTGCGCGGGGCCCACTTGCGGGCAGGACGCAGAGGGAGGAGAGGGGCCCCCAGACGCTCGGACGGCCGCCCAGCCCCGCAGAGGTTTCCCCGCCGGCTGCGGCTGGCAAGCTCGGGTCGTTGTTTATATTTTTAGCTGTTGTTTGGAGATTTCTACCGGAGGGCGCACCTGCCTTCGAAACACACACACATTGCCCGGCCGGCGTGGCTCAGCCATTGAGCATCAACGTAGGATCCAGGAGATCAGGGTTCGAGTCTCGGTCAGGGCCCAGGCCCGGGTTGCGGGCTCGATCCCCAGTCAGGGGCCTGCAGGAGGCAGCCGATCGATGACTCTCATCATGGATGTTTCTATCTCTCTCTCCCTCTCTCTGAAATCAACAAAAAATATATTTAAAAAATTAAAAAAACACAAGAGCACCCAAGCACACCCTTTCCATTGGCTGCCAGAGTGATGACCTCAGCACAGGCCACGTAGCCGCTTGGAGTCCACCGCAGGCTCCAGAACGTCTCAGGCCCTTTTGCATTATTACTGAGAAAACAGTTTTGACCTTGTCGACCTCCTGCGAGGGTCCCGGGGCTCCCGGTGGGTCTCCGGGCCCCAGGTGGGGAGCAGGTGGTGCTGTGGGTAAGAGCAGACACCCTGCCCGGCCGGGCGTGGCTCAGCGGTTGAGCGTCGACCTAGGATCCAGGCGATCGGGGTTCGANTGGTGCTGTGGGTAAGAGCAGACACCCTGCCCAGCCGGGCGTGGCTCAGCGGTTGAGCGTCGACCTAGGATCCAGGCGATCGGGGTTCGATTCCCGGTCAGGGCACATGCCCGGGTTG